CAAAGTGAAGAAACTGACGTGAGTTTTCTATGTTTATTCAAATGTCTTCATTCACTGATACTTTAAATCAGATTTTAAGACATTTGATTAAAATGTATTTTCTACAGTTGCTGTCTGAATGTTAAAATATAATTTTACATTGCCAATATTTTATTTTTATATTTTTTAAATATTGAACTTTATTTCCTGTTATATCAAGATCATAATCTTCTTGACTAGGGGAAAAATGAGGTGACATTTGCTCCAGGATAAAATGTAATAATGAACTCTTGTTATATATTTAAGCCCACATAGTGCTTTTTTATAGTGAGCTAATACACTTAGACCTGTGTCGCCATACAAGGCTGATAGAGGAGTTTTACTTTTTTTTGCAGCTCCAGACAGATTTTTGGTGCAATATTCTCTTGCTATGCTCTTTGAGCAGTATGGGTTGCTGAGCCCTGCTCTAGGGGAACATACACACAGACCCAGGAGGAGGTCAACAGATGCCCCCACCGCCCAGTGTCCCCACAGCCGACTGCAGGCATTAGCTGGGCAAAGGGCCAGGGCAGGCAGGGCCAGTGCAGGCAGGGCCAGTGCAGGCAGGGCCAGTGCAGGCAGGGCCAGTGCAGGCAGGGCCAGGGCAGGAAGGGCCAGGGAAGGCAGGGCCAGGGCAGGCAGGCTCATACCAAAGGCCGAGATGCATCTTGGTACAGACACTGCAGTACAGACACGCAAGCTAGCCAGCCCTCCTCCCGCAAGGGCCAAACATCCCAATGTCCCAGAACCCCAATGAGTGTCAGGAACCAGCAGCCACAGGACGGAGCCAAAGGACAGAGAACCCAGGAAGAGCCAGAAACCACAGCCAAGCCATGACCAAACCCAAGGGCCCAGCCCCAGGGAGAGCAAAGGGAACAGAGTTATGAAAAGACCCCATGCCCTCTCAGATGTAGTGTTGCTGCCTGTTGAACTACTGTATCACCATAGAAGCATATGTAGTCAGGTGGTATATTTTGGCTTAAGTATGCTTTTATAAAGTGTTGGTTTCCTGACATATTACGGTAGCAATGCTACGGAATTATTTTGGTTAAGTTATATAAATTTATTTGT